GGAACGTAATCCAATACATCTATTTATTTTCATCGTACCACTTTAATTAATATTATATTTTGTGTTATTAAATTTTAAATTAATTTTGTAATTGAAACATAACTCTGTTAAATTGAATATTATATTCAGTTACAGACTCCAAGTCGATAGTTCTAATATTACTTCATTTCGGGTAAATATTTCTGAATAGGTGTAATTAAGCAAAAATTTATAATTCAAATGATTATATACTAATACATTCTCACGTTGCACGTATTTGTTCTAACTTTATGATAAATTATTCGTGAACTCTTCACCGATTAAAATTTCAATTTTATTTTTAATTATAAACATGCCAGTGAAATTTTCTCGAAAAATTCGAGGACACCCTGTATGCAATAGTCAGATCATAAAATTCATTATTATGCAAGCATGCTAGCCAAAATTAGTATTATCAGAAATTTCTCGGTAATTTCAATATCGACAGGATAATTCCATAAATGATCAAATATACTTGATTATTTAAACTAACAGCGTAGTTAATTCTGGGATACTAGTCAAACACTAGACAAAACTAGTATTGACGAAAGAGATTTGTTGAAACTAATATTGACCGAGTAGATTGTGTCTCGCTTGCAATTCGAGTTTTAATTGTAACACATATATATTCACTAGTATTTGACTAGTATACACATGTATATATGTATACCAAATATTGATATCTATCGCACGAATAAAAATATTTGCTACTATAGTTCGAAAGAAGCATATTTAAACTGGAAAATAAGTTTAACTTTTGCAAAATAAGTTTTAACTGTATTTAAAAATAAGAGGTACATTTTCATTCTCATAGGTAATTTTCATAGTACTCCTTTTTATGGCATTATTCGACTGTTACAAATTTATTCTTGTTATTTTATTGTCACTACGTTATTTGCAATTATTATTAAGCACTTTATCAAGAACCCCTATGTAATTGAATTTAATATTAGATGAGAAAATTAGAGAGAAAGAAATTACGAAAAATTGCAAGTAAAATAAATAAGTCTTGAGAAAGAAAGGAAAGCATAAATATAAATAAATATTTTTAAAAATAAAATAAATCAGTACAATAAATATCGAGTCACTAACAATTGAAAAAGTATGAGAAATCAGAAGAAATAATAAAAATTTCTAAAAGCCGAAACAAATAAAAAAAACTACTTAGAAATTGTTTACAATAATTAAAAATGATAATAATATCAAAATTCCATCTATTCTATTAAAAAAGAACAGAATATTTATCCCTAACATTTCCCCTCCATCTCCCTCCAATTTATTTATTACTCAAAAGTGATTTTCTTTCTTTCCATTTTCCAAATTTATTGCGTCATAAAAAGCTGCAATGACTCTTGCTTTGCTACAAATATAAATAAAAACAATCAAACGCCGTCTTTAAAACATTTACTCCTGACCTTCCCCCTCCATCCTTCACCAGTTTATTTATCACTCAACAAATTATTTTTCCCTTATTTCCATTTTCCAAATTTACTTCGTAATAAAAAGCTGTAATGACCCTTGCTTTGCTACAAGTACAGACAAAAACATCCAAACGTACGTTTCCTTCAAGAATATCGACAAAAATCTCCCAATCTGCTTCAACCCAAATTCCTCAAAATTATGCAAATAAAAACATCCAAACGCTGTCCTTCAAATATTTACTCCTGACCTTTCCGCTCCATCTGTTTTCAATTTATTTATCAAATTATTCTTCCTTTCTTTCCATTTTCCAAATTTATTACTTAATAAAAAGCTGTAAGAACCCTTCCTTCCCTACAAGTACAAACAAAAACATCGAAACGTACATTTCTTTCAAGAATATCAACAAAAATCCCTTAAGCCCACATAAAATTCCTCAAAATTATACAACCGAACGTTTAACCAAGCTCGCTGCGACCTACTTCATCGAAAACCCCATCAGGAATATCGAAACTTTCTGATTTGAACAAATTGTACAGTCCAAGCGCGTTGTTGACGCCCCAGGCAATCGCGGAACTTGGATCGATGGCGGCGGCCATCGACGTTCCTCAAGTTTGAAATTTTCAACTTACAAGACCGGCCTGTACACGGGAAACACGGTGAAAAGATAACCGCGACGGAAGAGACGGCGAAGCAGAGAAAATTCGACGAAGAGAGGGAGGACCAAGCGAGAGGAAGTCGATTACAGAAGAGAGCGTGTCACGCGAAAAAGGAAAGCAACCCTTCAGAGATGATAAGAGAGACAGGATACGTCGAGTGGCAGCTCAATTTACCTCTTGTTGTACTTGCTTTGATCGACCGATACCATGGCCCGACTACATACTCGTTATCGATCGAGCCGATCCGCGAACTTTCGTTTTCGTTCGCCTGGTCATCGCTCATAAGTGACTCACCGCGAGTGACTTTGGGTTAAGGTACGCATACCGTACCATACTACGCGCCGGAGCGTTAAAAACTTCCCCCGCCAGATGACTCGTCGATCGAGGCCAGAGAGCGCTGTGTTACGTCACTCGCGAGGTTGAGGCACGGAGTATGCGAAGAATAGAAGGCGTACAGGGTGTAAAATCGAGTAAAATGTCTCGAAATATTGCTAAAGTACGAACTTCCTCGATTTCAAAAAATTCGAATCTCCCGCCGCACGATTGTCAACTGTTCGCATGTTAAACTTGGCTACAAATGAAAACATAGATCAATGCTTTTTCGTTGTGAAGCTATCCCAGCTCTAATTCGATTAACCACTTGCGGTGGCAAGAAATTCACAGACGTGTGTCCAGAACGGTCCAGTGTTTCTGTAACAATTGCCTAACGACGTGTATACCACGTCGTTGGCGACTCTGCGACAAAAACATTATGACGTGCGTGACACGTCTTCCAAAAGCCAAGGGGTTAATATAGGAATATCTAAAAACAGAGAATATTAACCCCTTACCTTACGATTTAAGGTACGATGGCGCGTGCTATAGTGATGACATAGTGATGTCATATCCTGCGAACGCGGCGAAGAATAACACGCAATTGACAATGAGACAGGAAAACATCGTCGAAAATTAACCACGAGCCTACTCCATGATGTTTACATTCGACTCTATACGACCCACGTCTCTCGCCCGTGATACTCGTGTTCGACCCGATCTCCTTGCGACGAGTCTCACACGACATTGTAAGCGAAGGGCACTTAAGAAGAAATTTATAAAATATTAACAAAATACAGGTATTCGAATAAAAAGTAACGAGTAAAAGATAAATTCTACGAATTTAGTCGCGAATTATAAACGACGATATTATTGGAATCTTATTCGAAGAAAAATTAGTCGTTAACCTCTTCAAAAACTTCAAGAATCTTTTTTAAGTCAACGTTGCAAATGATTTGAAAACAGTGATGGTAAAGTAGAATAAACCGCTATTAACGGTAACATTCGACGAGCTTTTTTTTCTTTTTATCCTTGAGAAATTCTATAATGAATAGTTCCCTGGATTACAGATTTACACTTACAATTTCGAACACAGGTAAAAGTTACGTAAATCGAGAAACGTTCATGTCATAATAAATACCCATAAATTAAAAGAGATATAATAAACACCTAATAAGAAAAGTGTAAAAATCCTCAAAAGGGTTAACATTGCAAGGGTAAGTGAGTTCCGGTTACCAATAAGGCGGTGTGAGTGGGGAGCAGCACTCGATTCGAGAATAGACAAGGGAGACCCAGCTTTAAAAATGGCAAACCAAGAAGTAGACGAGAGAAGTTTTATATGACAGACGAGAGAATACTGTAGTAGAGTAAAGTACGATCAGCCACCGAAAATTAGAATTATTAAACCTAACCATCCCCTTTCCTCCCTTTACTATACGAATTAGGTCATAATTAAAGAAGAAAAAAAAGAAAAGCAAATTTTTATGCGAATGATGCTTAAGTATGGTTAGATAGGAAGATTCATGATAGAGAAGGATTGGAAATTAAATTGTGAGAGACAGTTCAGAACATATATACTCCTGCTCATACATGTAGTGATACAGAAAAACTGTGAAACTGACAATTTCAAAAATTTCCGAACAAACAACGCGGAAAATTCTAATTTATTCGTTAATTGGGTTGCAAAATACGATTTTCGTATTTATCAGGAAAAATGTGAGAAAAAAAAATTTCATATCTGCGGAAAAATGATCTCGTTTGATAAGAAGAACTGACGTCGAGTACTCTGAACGAAAATATTCGGGAAACGAGAATATGTGACATTCTTTTTCCATTACAACCATGTATATTTGAATGTTTATTGAACGGGATAAATTAAATGGACCGTGTTTGAAATAAATGCACGGATAGAATACGCAGGCCAATATGGTCACCTGTTGTTGGAATAATTATTTCTCTATTAATGAAATTACTCGATTGCTAAAGCTCGCGCGTTATATGCGATCATATTATATGATATGCCGAATGATCATCGTTTATCGTTCCTGCAAAGTCAGGTTTATTTAATGTGAGATTTAATATCTAATACGAAATTTGGAATAAGTTGGATGGATTTGTTGAAGGCAACGTGTTTCAGACGAATTTTGCAGGTTATGGTGCTTGGATTGTTACTGGGAATACTTAAAAAAAAAAAAAATGATGTAGATGGAAACATTAGAAATGGAATTATTATCATTATTTTTAATCTTTTAATTTTATGGATATTGCAATATGACGAGTTTTGTATTAAGTCATATGCTTATCTCTTTCTGGTATAGGAATTTTCAGACAATAGTCGCTGTCTTCAGCAATGTACATATTTGTATGTTTGTATGTATTTGTGGGTTTAATTATGGTATTGTGGATAGATGTGTGAATTTCTTTGATGCGATACCAGTTGTGGATATGACTATGGACGCTATTGATTCCATATTGTTTTTATTTATTTGCTCATTATTATTATTAATTTCTCATTATTATTATATGTAGTTCCTCTCCCTTTCCAGGGTATTCCAGCAGCTGGACGGGACATTGCCAGGTCCAGCTCGGCTTTCAACTTATATCGTTGAGGAAATTTCTGGTGATATTGCATGTATGTAGTATCGTTGCTTTCTGTATTTTATGGTGGATGTGTGTTGGTATCTTCAATTGCGTTAGGTGTATTTCGAGTGTGTATGGTGTTATTCCCGTTGTTGATATTATTATTGGTATTGTATTTACTTTCTGTTGTTTCCATATTCTTTTAATTTTCTGTGCTAGTGGTGTGTATTTTTCTATTTTCTCTTTGTATTTTTGTTCTATATTTGCATCATTGGGTATTACAATGTCGATTAAGTATGTTTTCTTTTCTTTCTTTTTCATGAGTGTGAAGTCTGGTCTGTTGTGGTTTATTGTTTTATCGGTGTGTATTGTTGTGTCCCAGTATAATTTGTATTCTTCGTTTTCGATTATTGCTGTTGGTGTATATTTGCAGTATGGTGTATAGTCTTGTTTTGTATTGTTGGTGTTGAGGATTGCTTTGTGAATTATTTTAGCTACTGTGTTATCTCTTTCTGTATATTCTTTTCCCGCGAGTATTTTACATCCTCCTGTGATGTGGTCTATTGTTTCTGTGAATTGCTTGCATTTTCTGCATTTATCGTCTTGTATGTCTGGGTTTTTGATAATATATTTTAAGTAGTTTTTTGTGGCTATTACCTGGTCTTGTATGGCTATTATGAATTCTTCTATTTCAGGGAATAGTTGTCCCTTTTGTCATTATTATTATTATTATTATTATTATTATTATTATTATTATTATAACTAGTAACTAGTAACTCTCTGATAATTATTCGCATTGATTATTTTAATAATAAAATATCATTCCAATAATTAATTTGAATAATTATTCGTATTAATTACTTTAATAATAAAATACGATTCTAATAACTTTCTACCAACTTTTTAATCAGGAACTCCATCCTCTGTGGTACATGTGCAACATGCAATATGTTATCCCAACCGGTTCATTCTCGATAATTTTTCTTCGAAACCCGTTCAGAATTTCGAGATATTTTCGTATTCACGTTGACACGTAATTAAATTTCAATTTCATCTCCGTTAAATTCAGTTAGAACGTAAAAGAACGGTTTCCTTTGCGCTAAAACTGAATGGAATCGAACGAATCGGAACGTCCAGTCCAGGTCGACGTCGGCCAACAAAGAGCTACATATGTGGGTCCCTGAAAAGAATTTCTTAGGAGATTCTGTCCTCTCTTCCGTGAAATTTATAACAGACGTTACACTTTATTTACTCGAATCTGGCGTTTTCAATGATTTTCCTAATTTTACGATTAGTCGATTAAGCAAACACCGAACATAAGTATCCATCCACCTACTTGCTTATCTCTGATCCATAGACTACACGAGACACTATTTGCCTTTATGGACAATCATTAAATATTCCCTGAAACATACACTGTAAAAGTGAAACGCACGATCCTTGTTTCGTTAAAAGCGCAGAGTTTCACGATCATAATCCCCCATTCTCGTGGTATAATCGCAGGACGATGACAACCCACGGAATTCCAATTTACGGGATAGGCCAGCACAAATCATTACACAGTTCAGAGATTTAAAAAAAATGATCGACGATTTTAATAATATATTCCTCTATTCATATTTCAACGATAAAACAAGGATAATGAGATTGATAATGATTTCGATAAAAATCAAAAAATAATGATAGGCTTGTGATAGTCGTGGGTAGCATAAAATCGAGGACAGACTCTTTAATGTATACTCTGATCATTGAAATACGACCACTCTTCTGTAGAACCCATTAAGAAGGATTATGACAATTACGTAATAAATTACACGCATTTATTAAACTGCCTGGGTATTATGGTTGTTTCGATTTTTCGTTCTCATTTAAATTACCAAATATACCAGATTACTTGATTAAGAATGTTCAATTTTGCAGCTGGAACATAATATACAACTTTATTATAATTATATATATATATAGCTATTTATTTTTAATATATTCATACCTCATTAAACTACAAAACAAAATAAGGGAAACTTAATAACATAATAAAATACTCGAATCCATTTAACAATATTAAATTCGGAATATCTGCCATTTTTAAATTCATCCTGATTGCTGAATATATTGTAGAATTCGATTCTTCAATTATCTCATTAGCTCATTAAAAATATGGCATAGTATATGCATAATAATAATTAAAGTTTCGTGATAAAAATAAATGAATAAATATAAATACGTTTGTATCTGTGCAAATAAGAAGTCAATATTAATTATTCAAAACAAAATTAGCTACACTGTATCCTAATATTTAACCATTCACAGCCAAGTAAACTCCATTACCCATAACCAGTTCCATAATTTGAATTTTCTTAAATTATGGAGTCAATAAATTATGGAGTCAATAATTGTTTACATTTATCCTGAATTTCTACACTTTGTTCCGCGAAGTTAATCGATTTTGCAAGTTAGCGTATAGTATTAACCCTTTGCACTCGACGACTTTTTGGCAAAAGAAGAGTGGGAATTCGAAGATTTCCTGCTATAAAGTTGACGATATTTTGATGAGTAAATTAATAAAGTTGAGTAAATAAGGAATAGTATAATAATTGACACCTAGAATTATTTGATTTCGATTCCTCACACACCGTTATCACATTATCTTAAATTTGACACATTAATTAATATCGATCTTGGAAATTTTATCAAATGGCGATTGAAGGGCACCTCTCGAGTGCAAAGGGTTAACATATGATCCGATGGTTGTACTACGAATTAACAAGATTCGTTCTCAAGTAAGCCTCGCTATTTGCTCCATCACCTCGACTCCTCTTCTTCGAAGCCAAAAATGCAACAGTCAGGTCAACACCGCGACTTCCTCTCGGATAATTGATTACGAGAGCCAAGTTGGACAAGCACCGTCGTACACCGAGCTATTCAAACACCCTCTACCTTCAACGTTCTCGAATGAACCGTATACTCCGGGGCAAGACCGCTTATTATTCGCCACGCATCGATATGCATGGAACAGCAATTTCAACAGCAATATCAGCCATAACTCCAAACAGAATCTCACGCGTCCAGTTTCTTCGATGGACAATTATTCATCCAGCGTGTTACAACATTCGTAGACATACTTTCAATTTTGCATACACTCCGGCGCAAGCACTCTTGCCTGCATGGCCGCTCAGGACGCGGTAAGACACACCCAAAGGTGCGTAAATTAACGCGGATGGGTCCGTGGAAATTAATGAGCATTAAATTACAGGCAATACCCGCGCATTATTTATTACCCATAGAGTTTCGATGGTGAATTAATGTCATTAAAGCATACCGGGAGGAGCGTGTTTTTCCCCACCGTGTCCACGATTACTCACGCGCCTGCTATTATATTAATGACATTCTGTAACAGCGCAAAACAGACTCGTCGATGATGAGGATACGCTCTAGTGCATTCCGTGCGGTCGCATTGTGAGGCCGCCACGAAAATTGATCTCGCTATGAAAATTAAAGATTACCCCTTCGCTGGATTATCTATGAATGCGCTGGCTGCCATCTCTATCCACCGGCAGCCAGGCATCCTCGCAACCAGGCCATACTTTTCTACCGTTCCCGCACAGACAGGAGTTAATAAACACAGCGTACAACGTCAGCACGAAGGCCACGAACGTCTGCTTCTTTTTCTCCAGACCTTTCATCCCCGCGGCAGACGTATATGTTGTCTAGATAGAAAATCTTAGACCCGGCCAGTACCGCGAGCTGCCGCGAATCAATCTTCGTCCTTTGGCCCCAGATAGAGGCTCAGCCTCGCCGGTTCCCTTTTTCCATCCCGACTTCCCACCGAGATCCTCCGGTAGACGATTTTATATCACCGTGCTCGGGCGACAGACGGCGTTCACGCCGCTCTGAATTCCGAGACTAGAGTAGCCTGCCGCGGCGGCGCTAGTAGTACTCTCGGAGTAGGAGCCACTAAGATGCGCATCGTCAAAGGAACACGCCTATTTGGAAATCTAACTGACGCTTTGGCCGTGCCGTAGACGCGTGCATACGTTCGCATACATGCTCTGTCAGCGCTGGATAGATGGATGCATGCATAATTGATGCGTCTATGTAGCGAGCGTGTGTACATATGCGTGTACACGCGTCTGTCACGTTTGCCTGCTAGATTGCGACGCTTCGAGGGGAGCAGACAGGCTGCCACGTAGCTACTTCTACGTATCGAATGATTCTTCCGTGAACCGGAAACGCTAATTTGTGTGACGTTCTTGGGGCATTGGTGAACCAGGTTCAGGACCATATGACGTGGTAATTGCCGAGAGATGAACGAGTACGTATGAGGATTTCTATTCGTACATTCTTCGGTGATTTTGGTGGCTTGTCTGGGAGTGTAAGACGAACGGTAGATGTGATTGAGCTGAAAAGTTTACGGTGGGTGTATCTTTCTTAGAGGTTTGAATAAGATGTGTGATGGGATGAATTGTGTTGCGAAGTCGAATTATTTTTCTTATGAGGAAACACGAATATTTATTCAACTGTAAGCTTGTTTATCGACGAATCGTGTATGGGAGTATAGTGTGTGTGTGTGTGTGTATGTGAGGATGAGCGTGAATGTGCGGTGCGAGTGTTATGAATTTAGTTCCCAATAATATGTAATGTGAGAAACATCGTGTGTACCGAAAACTTCGATTCCTCACACACCGTTATCACATTATCTTAAATTTGACACATTAATTAATATCGATCTTGGAAATTTTATCAAATGGCGATTGAAGGGCACCTCTCGAGTGCAAAGGGTTAACATATGATCCGATGGTTGTACTACGAATTAACAAGATTCGTTCTCAAGTAAGCCTCGCTATTTGCTCCATCACCTCGACTCCTCTTCTTCGAAGCCAAAAATGCAACAGTCAGGTCAACACCGCGACTTCCTCTCGGATAATTGATTACGAGAGCCAAGTTGGACAAGCACCGTCGTACACCGAGCTATTCAAACACCCTCTACCTTCAACGTTCTCGAATGAACCGTATACTCCGGGGCAAGACCGCTTATTATTCGCCACGCATCGATATGCATGGAACAGCAATTTCAACAGCAATATCAGCCATAACTCCAAACAGAATCTCACGCGTCCAGTTTCTTCGATGGACAATTATTCATCCAGCGTGTTACAACATTCGTAGACATACTTTCAATTTTGCATACACTCCGGCGCAAGCACTCTTGCCTGCATGGCCGCTCAGGACGCGGTAAGACACACCCAAAGGTGCGTAAATTAACGCGGATGGGTCCGTGGAAATTAATGAGCATTAAATTACAGGCAATACCCGCGCATTATTTATTACCCATAGAGTTTCGATGGTGAATTAATGTCATTAAAGCATACCGGGAGGAGCGTGTTTTTCCCCACCGTGTCCACGATTACTCACGCGCCTGCTATTATATTAATGACATTCTGTAACAGCGCAAAACAGACTCGTCGATGATGAGGATACGCTCTAGTGCATTCCGTGCGGTCGCATTGTGAGGCCGCCACGAAAATTGATCTCGCTATGAAAATTAAAGATTACCCCTTCGCTGGATTATCTATGAATGCGCTGGCTGCCATCTCTATCCACCGGCAGCCAGGCATCCTCGCAACCAGGCCATACTTTTCTACCGTTCCCGCACAGACAGGAGTTAATAAACACAGCGTACAACGTCAGCACGAAGGCCACGAACGTCT